GTGTATATGTATGTCATAGTTGCACATCCTTCTAGTTGCTGTATGTGGGACGCGGCCTCAGCATGGCCAGAGAAGCGGTGCGTCGGTGCGTGCCCGGGATCTGAACCCGGGCCGCCAGTAGCAGAGCGCGCGCACCTAACCACTAAGCCATGGGCCCGGCCCTGTAATTTACTTTTAACCACTGTCTGAAAGCAAAGAACCTATCCTGATCAGAAATTTTCTCTGCCAGGGGCCGGCCAAGTGGCGTAGTGGTTAAGTTCATGCATTCTGCCTCAGCAGCCTGGGGTTTGTTGGTTCAGATCCTGGGCACAGACTTACTCACCACTCATCAAGCCATGCTGAGGCGGCGTCCCACGTAGAAGAGCTACAGCTCTACAACTATGATATACAACTGTGTACTGGGGCTTTGGGGAGAAAAAAGAGGAAGACTGGCAACAGATGTTAGCGCAGGGCCAACCTTCCTCAAAAAAAAAAAGTCAAAAGATTAATTCCTGGGTGGAAAGCCGAAACGAATAAAAAAAATTTTTTTCCTCTGCCAATATGAAGTGGCTAAGATTAATTCTGACTGACCATCTCCAATCTTTTATAATGTACTATGCTATGACTACTCAATGTTTCATATAATAAATGAATTAGATTTTTGGAAATATATTTAACTTACCTAGCAGACACCACCACCATCCTAAATGATTTGATAACGTTACCTACTATACTGAATCATTCTTTTAGCTCAATAGCTTTCTAGCTACCTGATAGACTATTTCTAACCTCAAAGAAAGTAGCCCCATTCAGAAAGTAGGTATCTTTAAACCATACTGAGCAACAGAGACATTCACCTATATCTATGTTGTTTAAAAAAATAAATTCAGGGGCCAGCCTGGTGGCATAGCAGTTAAGTTCGCACACTCCACTTCAGTAGCCCGGGGTTCACTGGTTCGGATCCTAGGCACAGACCTACTCACCGTTCATCAAGCCATACTGAACCAGTGTCCCATATAGAAGAGCTACAACTCTACAGCTATGATACACAACTATGTATTGGGGCCCTGGGGAGAAAAAAGAAAAAGAGGAAGATTGGCAACAGACATTAGCGCAGGGCCAATCTTCCTCAAAAAAAAAAATTTATAAATCCAGCTTTGCCAATACTAAAGCCAAAAGACTTTAGGCAATCTGGGGCGTTGGCTCCCTCAATTATCAACTGGGGGAGAGAATTAGATGACTTTCTCTGACCAACACAATTTATGATTCTCCTACAAATAACATCTAGACATCTAATGTGTGCTAATGAGATAAACTATGCTAGCACTTAGGACAGAGTAAGTGCTCAAGAAATGTTACTTCCCTTTCTGATTCCCCTCATCACAAGAAATACCTCTAATACAGAGAAATCTAAAGTCCCTTTATCTTAGCAACATATTTTCAAGTACCATGTCTGACCGGGCAAGGGAAACAATAGAAAAAATAAACAAATGGGACTATATCAAACTAAAAAGCTTCTGCACAGCAAAGGAAACCATCAACAAAACGAAAAGACAACCTAACAATTGGGAGAAGATATTTGCAAACCATATATCTGATAAGGGGTTAATCTCCAAAATATATAAAGAACTCATATATCTCAACAACAAAAAAACTAACAACCCAATTAAAAAATGGGCAAAAGAGCTGAACTGACATTTCTCCAAAGAAGATATACAGATGGCCAACAGACACATGTAAATGTTCAACATCACTATCAGGGAAACGCAAATCAAAACTACAATGAGATATCACCTCACGCCCGTCAGAATGGCTATAATTAACAAGACAGGAAACAACAACTGTTGGAGAGGATGTGGAGAGAAGGGAACTCTCATACACTGCTGGTGGGAGTGCAAACTGGTGCAGCCACTACGGAAAACAGAATGGAGATTCCTCAAAAAATTAAGAATAGAACTACCATACAATCTAGCTATTCCACTGCTGGGTGTTTATCCAAAGAACACGAAAACATGCAAGCGTAACGATACATGCACTCCTGTGTTCACTGCAGCTCATTATTCACAATAGCCAAGACTTGGAAGCAACCTAAGTGCCCATCAAGGAACAAATGGATAAAGAAGATGTGGTATATATACACAATGGAATACTACTCAGCCATAAGAAACAATGAAATCCAGCCATTTGTGACAACATGGATGGACATTTGAGGGTATTATGCTAAGCGAAATAAGTCAGAGGGAGAAGGTCAAATACCGTATGATCTCACTCATAAGTAGAAGATAAAAACAACAACAAACAAACACATAGAGACAGAGATTGGATTGGTGGTTACCAGAGGGGAAGGGAGGAGAGAGGAAGGTGAAAGTGATGATTATTAGGCACATGTGTGTGATGATGAACTGTAACTAGCCTTTGGGTGGTGGACATGATGTAATCTATGTGGAAATAGCAGTATAATGATGTACACCTGAAATTTATATAATGTTATAAACCAATGTTACCGCAATAAAAAATAAATAAATAAAATAAAGCCCTTTTGTAGCTATATGGAAAATTAGTAAGGCTGGGTTCATAAGCACTTTGAACTATCCCTAAGTTTGTTATTTGTGTGTGTGTGTGTGTGTGTGTGTGTGAGGAAGACCAGCCCTGAGCTAACATCTGATGCCAATCCTCCTCTTTTTTTTTTTTTTTTGGCTGAGGAAGATTGGCCCTGGGCTAACATCCATGCCCATCTTCCTCTACTTTATATGGGACGCTGCCACAGCATAGCTTGACAAGCAGTGTGTCGGTGCGCACTCAAGATCCAAACCTGCAAACCCCGGGCCGCCAAAGCGGAGTGCTCACACTTAACCGCTGTGCTACCAGGCTGGCCCCCCCTAAGTTTGTTATTTTTATATGAACATATATATATTCTTTTATATGGCATATTAGATTAGAAGCTAAAGGTCAGTCATTGTCATATGTGTTTGGAGTATTCTTTTTCCAGGTGGGGGCAATCAGATCAATTAAGTATACTTCAATTCATCCTATACATACTGTCTCTATGTGGGGTCACCTCCAGGATTCATACAAGAAAGGGATATAAATATAGGCCAACAACAGTGAGAAAGCTCTCCTTATTATCTTTCCTAACTAGTCAAATTCTCCAAGATGATATTAGATGAGAGTCCATGTATTGCTAGAGAACATACAAAAGCATTTCTGCCCAGTGGCCAGAGAATGTCCTCTGCACAGGCCATGTCTGGGTTAACATGGCCAAAAATAAATGAAAATTATATAATCAAGCCCAAAAATCAGGTCAATCAGGAAGATAATTTACCAGATGGATACAGTATTAGGCTGTCACAGAATATAGGTCTGATATCCAGAGGGGAAGTCCTGGGTTACCCCCAAAAGACAGACTAAGCATATGCTGAGAGCACCAGTAAAGAAAGGTCATCAAAAAAAAGGAGGAAAGGCATTTGGGAAAGATGTAATATCTGAGACTTAAAAAAATTAGACATGATAGGAAAAATTGGGACTTTGTTGGACTTCCTTACACTTACTTTATGGTTTAATATTGTTTTTAGTCTGAATTACATAATACTTTCACAGCTTAGGCATTCTAAAAGTCTTATCCCAGCCCCATACAGAAAACATCTTAGAAAGTTTTAGGTTTTGATTTGTTTTAATGACAAGAAAAACAATTAGAGGTAGAAATCCATGACTTCACTAAAAGATACATGCAAATATGTTTGTGTTATTTTAATGAAAATATTTTAAATATCTTCCTAACTTCTAAAATAACTTTGGCGTAAGAATTGTTCATATCTAAACTCAAAATGATTTAATGAACAATTTAAAGTACTTTTTATGAACTTCACATAAAACAAATGTTTAACAGAACACGAGATGAGGAGCAGTAACCCACTTCCTGAGTTGCATAGGGCTTATAGTATTCATGCCTTTGTTTCGGATCAAGGTATTTCATGGTTAAGTATGGAAACTCTCCTAAAATATCAAGACGCTCTCTGAGGATATCAAGTTATCATCTTTTGGGAAATTTAGAAGAACGATGGGAATCTAGAAACAAATTCTGAGTTACCTTATAAATACAACAGTAATCCCAATAACAGCAGCTTACATTTATTGGGCAATAAAATATTCTAGATACTATGTTAAGGATTTTTATGTATCATCTTATTTAATTCTTACAACAATCCCCCAAATTAGTTTCTATTATTATCTCAAAACTCAGGGTCTGAGCACTTAGAGTAATCTGCCCAAGCTCATACACTACAGCTGAAATTAGAACCAAATCTGTCTGAGTCAGGTATCTGCAATTTTAACCACTATGTTTTAATGGGAAAAGGGTGAGCCTGTATCTTTTTATAAACAGGCAATTATTGCCTTAAATAACAGAATGTTACCTTTGACCAAAGGACAAAAACCTACTGGGTTATTTTCACCAACTCTGCAGCAAATGTCTTGCTGTTACCACACTGCTAAAGCTGCATTGATATGTTGATATAAAATCCAACAAGGTAATTATAATTGAATTCTAAAGTGTCTTATAAATTTCTAGCTATCAGAGAAAGAACTGCAAATTGAAATGTAGCAGTTTCTTTTTCAGTCAGTATATTACAGAAGCTTTCTAATAATTCAATTATATGTTTAGGTACCTCCAGGGATGTTATTATGGTTAAGAAGCATTTTAAGGAAAAAGCTGGCATCATTTTGACAGAAAACAGGTTTTAACTTTTATATCATCCTACTCGTATGAATGAAAACATCTTTAGATGTTACTGGAAGGAGTGCTATGATAGCAAGATTAAATGGATTATAAAAAAATAAAGAAATAAACTCTAAAAAACAACAAAAAAAGATGGGAAGAAGGGAGAGGATCAGAGTTCCTCAGAGAAATCTTTTTTTGTGTTCAAGAATCCAGAATGAGTCAAAGGCTGTAAATTGACTTACGTCCAGCACCAAGGGCAGAGTGGTAAGATAGTTTGGTAACTTAAAGATAAAAACAGACTTACCTTGAGGAGAGCCAAGGCTACATGAAAGATTATGTTCAAACCCTGAAATAGAAAAAGAGGGTCAAAATCAATACTGCCATATGTATCACTATTTTACTATTTTCCCAAAATTGCCATACATCTTTAATAAAATCTCTAATTGCTTTCATCTTCACATAAAATAATAATAAAATCATGAAATTTTTTTTTTTAGCTGAGGAAGATTTGCCCTGAACTAACATCTATTGCCAATCTTCCTCTTTTTGCTTGAGGAAGATTCGCCATGAGCTAACATCTGAACATCTGTGCCAAACTTCCTCTATTTTGTATGGCTACAGCATAGCCGCCAACAAGTGATATAGGTCCGTGCATGGGAACCAAACCTGAGCCACCGAAGCGGAGCACACTGAACTTAACCACTAGGCCACGGGGCCAGACCGTGAAATTTTTTAAAAGGTATTTTCCTTCTCTGAGAGGCAAATTGGTGCTATTTGATCAATGTTCACATAAAATTACTGTTTTTAGAATAAGTTATTTTCCTTCAATCTATTTCTGGATTATTTGCATGGGTCTAAGGCTTGTGAAAGTCAAGTTCCTTAATCAAGATGGCAGTGATATAAAGTCTAAAATTATTAATTGAAATTCCTAGTCTGTACATCTGGGTGATGTGGTTAAACTGCTAGTGGTGGACAAAACAAAACAAACCACAAATAGTGTTGCTGATAACTAGGACAGACTGCATGAGGAAAGCTGTAAGCATCACACTGGATTTCCACTACTGTTCTTATTGTTTTGTTGTTTGTTTTAGCGCTTGCTTTCAAGTAGTATTTGTACAACCAGAGGTGGTAATTAGGGGCCATCTGCACAACTTTCCTTTCCTTTCTTCACTAAAAACAAGAGTAATATTTCTTTAGGAATAAACAAATTAAATAGCTTGTTAAGAAGCCATGCTGGAGCTGAATTCTGAACTCTGAGTTCAGCCCAATGACTGAAGAGATGTTGAGATATTAAATTCAAGAGATAGGGAATCTTAAATGCTCAAGATAACACAATCAGAAACAAAGTTGCCATGGAATATGCTGTTTCCTTGCCATGCAAGTCATCATACATGAGAAGAGAGATCTTTCAAGTATGAGTTGACATCTCCCATAAGTCCAGGGTCTATTTGACGTGCCCTCTTCCTCTTGGTCACAAATATCATCTATCTTCCTTTTGTATATGGAGCTGTATCAGATATATTATGCAAAGAACTCCTAACAAACCAAGCACTTTCTGTCTCCAAAATCAGAAGCGAGAATCAGGACTAGGAACTTAGAGCACACTGCTGTTATAATTTGCTAATGTAATCTTTCACATTCAGCCACCAAAAATATGATGTAATGGTGAAAGGGATGAATGATAAACACAAAATATTTGGTTGGAGATTTTGGTTAATTCTTTAAGAAACCAAAAGCAGTAGGAAGTAAGTATAATCAGGCCAGGAGAAAAACAAATTGACACAGCTCATCACCACACCAAGCAATGATCCTAGATTGTTTTTGATCACTATTTACCAATTAGAAAAAAGAAAGAAAACTACTGTAGATAAAAAATACTTGGGTTATAATTAAGCAAAATTTGCTCTCCTAATCTAAATTTGGCTCCTCACCCCCTAGCTGCTGCCCACTGCCGCCAAAACTTGCAGACCAAAAGAAAAAAGACCTGCTGCCCTGCTCCACACTCCCTCCACCCCCACATCACAACTGCTAGGCAGTAGTGAATTCTCACAACCTGAGCGCTTATCAACCTGCCATCAAGACTAATCCACCATGTCTCTGTTCTTGTTTTTCCAGTCACTGCTCAAAACGAAAGCTCCTCTTGTCTCTAGTTCTCTAATCCTCATAATGTTCCGGTCCTTTCTCCTAAGCCAGTCTCCCACTCCTCCTCTCCTTCTCAAATCCCTTCAGGGTACTCTGGAAACTCCACTCCATGTTCAACCAACTCTGCTATATTCTCAACCTCTCTGCCAAACATTCCCCCCATCTCCTTGCTTTCACAGGAATGGTGAAATCTCACTGATTCTCATAACAACCTGTATTATGATTCCCATTTTTCCAGAATATGATTTTGACTAGCCTAAGGTTATATATGTATTTAGTAGCAGATTCTATTTAGTAGAATCATCCCCCAAGCCTCCTAATATCTAATTTAATGGCATTTTCACCACACAGTGCTGGTGTAACGTACACAGTAACTGCTTATTTGATGAACGAATGATTGAACTATATACTAGCTATCCCAGATCTTCTGGGATTTATTCTTTTCCCTATGGACCCAACTAGACCAATTTACAGAAGCATCATCAAATTACAGTAAGAAACCCTTTTCTTCAATTATCTCAAAGTGAAACTACTGGACAACTGAGCTATGAAAAACACAAACAAGAACTTAGAAATTCAAAAAAAATTAAAGATCTCTAAATAGCCAAAATGGCTCTAACACCAAAAGAAAAATTTATTCAAATTTTTATTTCATATACACTTCAAATTAGTTTGGTGATATGATTTTATAGTTTACAGATATCAGAAGTAGCAAACTAAAAGATAAAGTGTGTGCTAGATGGAGTTAGGAGACAGCTGTCAGAATTGAAATATTAGATCTAACAGAAATAGAAGAGACATTTCAAAAAGAACTATAAAATCTATAGCTATCTGGGCCCATTTAGTGCAGCTAATATTCCTTCAATAGTTAATATTAGTTCATAATAATAATCCAGCAGTGTTAATGAATGCTTACATTATGTTCAAAATACTGTTCTTAAGAAGGGAGCATAGTATATATTTTAAATAAAAAGTAGATAATTTTTTTAAAGCTTGTGAAGGTAAAGAGGTAACTTTCAGTTACCAGAAAAAATTTATATATGTAAAGTCTTTAAACAAGTTCAGAATAATAAGGTATTACCGCATCTGCTTATATGACTCTCTAGGTATTATCCATAAAAATCGAGAAAAGTAAAGACTTCATAAGCCTTAAACTAAGGTAGAATAGTGTGACCAGACTTTGTAAACAAAGACACTGTCAGACCTCTGAGTTGCTGGAAATCAGGAAAAACTTGCTATTCTACACCAAGTTCCTTATTTCACTACAAAATGTATCCTGACTTCCTAAGAGGAGAGTATTGAAGGCAACCTTAGTTGAATATTTTTAAATATTAAATTTTTTTTCTTTTAAATAAGACTTATTCTCATTTAGGAATAGAATTAGATGTATCATTAAATTACAGGAACCTTCCACAGGCCAGCATTTGGTCAGTTTAAAAGTGGGGCACTGAAATCAGTTGGTTATAAGACGATAATGTCAATGCAAGCTTTGGTCCTCAGCCTCCTAGCCAATGAAGAAGCAAATTATAAGCAAACCTTCACTCTTCTAAGCCACCATGAACTACATCCCCCCACTGTTATTTTATTGTTCACCTACTTTTACATGATCCAACCTCTAATCGAACTGAAATTTATTTTTTAAAATACATTTTTAAAAGAAAAAGGTGTTACACATTTTCAACATGCCTTCCCTTTTCAGGAATATGTGATCTGTAGCAATTTGTTTCTCAGGGGTAAATAAGGGTTCCTAATGGGGCTCAAAGGGTTAAAACATTTGGAGAATTATCATGAATAAAAATAACAAGTAAATATATTGTTATGGCTACTTATTATTTATAGTAAAAGGTCTAACTCCAAGTGTAAGATAATAAATATGAGGCAACATCCACTGAATATTTTCCATGTGCCAAGATCTGAATTAATCACATTGAAAATGTGTCCTTATTTAATCCCACCACAACCCTAAATTCCATTTTACACACAGGAAATTAAGACTTCGAGAAGTCAAAGTAAATTTCTCAAGGTCATACAGCTAGTAAGTGGATTTTAACCTAAGCAGTGTAACTCTAGAAGTCATACTCTTAACCCCTAAGTTAGAGAAGATGGTTCAATGACTAAGTGAATGAATGAATAAATCCCTTAGTTGGTATTATTTAATGTGTCCTCTAAATCCTAAAAGATTAAAGTGATTCCTTCTACTTAAAGGCAAGTAAATATTGAGAGCAGAGAGTAAAAAGATAACAAATAGGTGACTTCTACCAAAACCAAATTTTATTATTTGTCTCCCAAAAAGTAGCTGACTGCTTGTAGAATGTGAGGCAATAGAAACTCAGCTTGCTGTGGAAAGAAAGGGTCACCACCTTCCTCCAGTGACAACAGATTGGGATTAGCCTCACATGAACGAAGAAGTGGTTCCTTAACTGATTACAAAGCTGCTGTTTCAAAATTCAGTCACAGCCTGGAAAAATCTCCAGGTTACAGAACACCTATGAGTAATTGCCCCAAATTAAATAATTGCTCCAAAGTGTAGATCATCGTGTTCCTGGGTAGGTCAACAATTGAGCACCCACAATCTTGCATAAAGGAAGGCTGACAGCAGAGCACTCACTGAAACAAAGACAGTGAACGTTTTGGCTCTGATGAGCAGGCAATCGTGGGCTCAGAGGGAACTGACAGATTGCATGAGAAGCTGTCAGAAACTACACTGACAGCACTGAGAACAAATGCTGAAAACATAGCGTCAAAAAGTGCCAAATGTGCATCAGCACCTGGGGCCTTTGGAATCAAAATAAAAGAGAAATAAACAGTATGTGGAAATGGAAAGCCTAACAACAAAGCAGTGAGAAATTATCAAAACAGCAGTGGCCAAAGGAAATGGAGCAGGCTCACAGACCTAAAGCTGGAGGAAATGAATGCAGCCCTTTCTGACCCATCCAACATGGGACGTATCACCCCAGGACGGAGTAACAACTAAATGAGATAGCATATAAAAAACATATCAAGGGACTGGGCCCGTGGTGTAGCGGTTAAGTCCAGCACACTCCACTTCGGCGGCCTGGGGTTCACGGGTTCAGATCCCAGGTGCAGACATACACCACTCATCAAGCCATGCTGTGGCGGCAACCAACATACAACATAGAGGATGACTGGCACAGATGTTAGCTCAAGCAAAAAAGAGGAAGATTGGCAATAGATGTTAGCTCA